TCTGCTAAGTCCTTGCAGGCCTTCTAGGTTGCCTTCTCTCAGCTAGGCCCCAAAAGAGGCAGTCATCTTCCCTCTTCGACATTGTGTCCAAGAAGGCAGCTTCTGACTGGGTGATCTGAAAAAGCATTGTCCTTCTACAAGGTATGGCACTGCATCATTCCAATGAAAGCAGAGAAAAACAATAATTATATTTTTAATGATGCCTTTTTCTGCTTCTGAACATTTCTGGGCCCCAAAGCCCCCTCACCTCGGCCTCCTTTGACCCTTCTGCCAAATCCTTGCAGGCCCTTCTAGGTTGCCTTCTCCCAGCTAGGCCCCAAAAGAGGCAGCCACCTTCTCTCTTCTTCCAATGTAGACCTCTCATGACCCACTTTACGTCCTGGTGTGATTTGGCCGGGGATAGACCATGGATTATGGGACTTGCAGTACCTTCACTCAATTCCTGAGACCTCTTCAACCCTCATCCAATTACCAATAAAGACAAAACTTGGCACACTGAGTCTCCATGACACACTCAACATCCTGGTGCAGTTTGGAGGAGGATGCACCATGGACGATGGGACTTGCAGTACCATCACTCACATTCTGAGACCGCTGTTAACGTCATCCAATGACTGATCAGGACCAAACTTGGCACATAGACCTCTCATGACCCACTTTACGCTCTGGTGTGGTTTGGCCGGGATGGACCATGGATTATGGGACTTGCAGTACCTTTGCTCAATTCTTGAGACCACTGCAACCCTCATCCAATTACCGATAAAGACCAAACTTGGCACACTGAGTCTCCATGACGCACTCTACATCCTGGTGCACTTTCGAGGAGGACAGACCATGGATGATGGGACTTCAAGTACCTCCACTCCCTTCCCAAGACTGCTGCAACCCTCATCTAATGTCCGATCAAGACCAAACTTGGCACACAGAGCCCCCATAACCCACTCTACATACCGATGCTGTTTGGAGGAGGGTTGACCATGGATGATGGGACTTGCAGTACATATTCTCACTTACTGAAACCACTGCGACCCTGAACCAATGACTGATAAAGACCAAACTTGGCACACAGAGCCCCCATGACTCACTCTATATCCTGCTGCTGTTTGGAGGAGGGTTGACCATGGACAATGGGACTTCAAGTACCTTCACTCACTTCCTGAAAACAATGCAACCGTCATCCAATGACCAATACAGACCAAAATTGGCATACAGAACCGCCATTACCCACTTTCTACAATAACCCGGGCAGCGCCGGGTCCCCAAGCTAGTAAGTAAATAAAACAACCTAGAGATCTCTTTAAAACTTCCAAAATGCATCTAAAGATACTTACAGCAGGATACATGCCTAAATTCAGTTGCTATTCTCAATTAAAATCATAGAGGTGTTCACTTACTCAGTTCCCATTGATAATATTGGAACTACTCCAATTTGGGCTACTAGATTTAGGTCACAGAGAATAAAGCCTGATTTTAGTTGCATCATCGACATTATTTCTTTGTGTTGATTGATTTAGATAAATATGAGTGCTGATGATTTTCTTCCAGGATGAAACATATTCAGGACAAGAATATTTTTGTGTATTAAGAAGAGTGAGACAGAACAACTTTTTAACCTGTCAGAGACAAGTATATTTGGAATTTATAAATTAGTTGAAAGCTTCTGTGTGAAACACTTTGGTTCTAATATTCATAATCACTGGATGAGTCTTTCCGACTAAACTAGTAGAAATTGCATTAAGATATATGGTGTGTGTCATTTCTTCTAGCAGTCACAAGTCCCTGCAATTGCATAAGTAGACTTACAGTTCTGTTTCTAACTACTTACAAGTAAGTGACTGAGTTCAAGCTAGGATGGTTGACACCTGGCTTCAAAACAGTAACAGCAGGAGCTCATCCCACTCACATTCAAGCCGCCAACCTTTCAGCCAGCAAGTTCAGTGGTTTAACTGTGAAAGCCACCCACTACATGGCTACCAGCCTCCTCCCAGTAGATTCAAATCAAGGAAAAGCTTTATGAGAACTACCACTCCTCTTGGCATCCCCCTAGCAACAGTAAGGGTATCCCTCTGGGCAGCTAGACCACGAAATCCCAACTGGATGGCCCCCCACGAGGGTCTTCCTCCAGGGGCAAACCAAGAATGGGCAACTTGGAAGTCCCTTAACAGACTCAGAGGTGGAGTGGGCAGATCAAAAGACAACCTGGCAAAATGGCACTACCTAAAAGAATCCCACACTTTATGTGACTGTGGAGCAGAACAGACAACTCCGCATCTGTATGCTTGTCCACTATGCCCTGCCTCATGTAGAGAGGAAGAATTGTTGGAGGCTGCAGACAATGCCATTGCTGTTGCCCATTTTTGGTCAAAAGATATTTAGCCACCTGCGCTCCTTTTGTTTTTATCGGTTTTATACTGGTTTATGCAATGCTTTTGATACGAAAAATAATAACTGGCTATGCCACCAGGGGACCTAATGCTGTTTATTATTATTAAAACCAAATATGAGTAGTTATTGTCAAATGTCCTAAAAATACATTAAATTATATTAAAACTTTAAAACCACCCCTAGTTGTAATTGTAAAAGGTTTTCAGCTCTGGCGGAATACCAAACTACAATTCCCAGGATTCCATGTCATTAAGCCAGATGTGTTAAAGGAGGCATGGGCAAACTTGGGAATTGTGGGAGTTGAAGTCCAAAACATCTGGAGGGTCCAAATTTGCCGATGGCTATGTTAAATCTTCCTTAATCCTACCGAATAAGGAAGCCATAGAACAGCGTTTCTCAACCTTCCTAATGCCACGGCCCCTTAATACAGTTCCTCATGTTGTGGGGACCCCCAACCATAATATTTTTTTTGTTGTTACTTCATAACTGTAATTTTGCTACTGTTGTGAATCAAAATGTAAGTATATGATATGCAAATCTGAAAACTGGTGGCGTTGTGGGGGGGGGGTTGATTTTGTCATTTGGGAGTTGTAGTTGCTGGGATTTATAGTTCACCTACAATCAAAGAGCATTCTGGACTCCACCAACAACGGAACAGAAGCAAACTTGGCTCACAGAACTCCCATGACCAACAGAAAATACTGGAAGGGTTTGGTGGGCATTGACCTTGAGTTTTGGAGTTGTAGTTCACTGAATCCAGGGAGCACTGTGGTCTCAAACATTGATGGATCTGGACCAAACTTGGCATGAATACTCAATATTTATTTATTTATTATGACATTTACATGCCTCCCTTCTCACCTCAAAGGGGACTCAGAGCGGCTTACAAGATATGTATGCATATTATATTATTAGCATAGTAAAATATCAGTATTATATATTACTATATTGTACTATACCATTATATTGTACTATTATTAGTAATATTACATGTAATATAAAATATATAATTATGTTGTTGTTCATTCATTCAGTCGTCTCCGACTCTTCGTGACTTCATGGACCAGCTCCCTGTCGTATTATTATTATTAGTATTATATTGTATTACATTTTAATATTATTATTATTATTATTATTATTATTTTGTCGTTCAGGAGTGACTCCTGGTGTGAGAGAATTGGCTGTCTGCAAGGACGTTGCCCAGGGGACGCCTGGATGATTTGATGTTTTTATCATCCTTGTGGGAGGCTTCTCTCATGTCCCCGCATGAGGAGCTGGAGCTGATAGAGGGAGCTCATCCGCCTCTCTCCGGATTCGAACCTGCGACCTGTTGGTCTTCAGTCCTGCCGGCACTGGGGTTTAACCCACTGCGAAGAGGAGGAAAACACCAATGTCCCTGCCATTTCCCCACCCATGCATTCAAAAAAGGCCGTAAGTAGTAATGCGGCTTTGTATTTCTAGGTGCAAAGATTACTGCAGATGCAGACTGTGGCCAGGAAATCAGAAGACGCTTACTTCTTGGGAGGAGAGCAATGTCCAGTCTCGATAAAATAGTAAAGAGTAGAGACATCAGACTGGCAACAAAGATCCATTGCCTAGTCAAAGCCATGGTATTCCCTGTAGTAACCTACGGATGTGAGAGCTGGACCTTAGGGAAGGCTGAGCCAAGGAAGATCGATGCTTTTGAGCTGTGGTGTTGGAGGAAAGTGCTGAGAGTGCCTTGGACTGCGAGAAGATCCAACCAGTCCATCCTCCAGGAAATAAAGCCCGACTGCTCACTGGAGGGATACTAGAGACAAAGTTGAAGTACTTTGGCCACATCATGAGGAGACAGCAAAGCCTAGAGAAGACAATTATGCTGGGGAAAGTGGAAGGCAAAAGGAAGAGGGGCCGACCAAGGGCAAGATGGATGGATGGCATCCTGAAGTGACTGGACTGACCTTGAAGGAGCTGGGGGTGGTGACGGCCGACAGGGAGCTCTGGCGTGGGCTGGTCCATGAGGTCACGAAGAGTCGGAGACGACTGAACGAATGAACAACAAAAATACAATGCATTACATTATATGAATATGCCCAAATGTAAACACTGGTGGAGTTTGGGGAAAACAGATTTGACATTGAGGAGTTGTAGTTGCTGGGATTTATAGTTCACCTACAATCAAAGAGCATTCTGAACGCCACCACTGATAGAATTGGGCCAAACTTCCTACACAGAACTTCCACGACCCATAGAAAATACTGTGCTATCTGGTGGTCCTTGGCGACCCCCTGGCAACCCCTCCAGGGGTCCCGACCCCCAGGTTGAAAAACGCAGCCATAGAATAACACACCAACCCAAGCACCGTCCAGTTGTTTGGGCCTCCAACTCTTAGAATTCCCAAGCTGGACAGGGCTTCTGGGAGTTGGAGGCCACAAACAGCTGAAAGGCGCCTCCTTGGCATTCATGGCAGAGTTTAAAATAAGCAGGACTACATGCCCCGTGATTGCCAAGGCCAGCGGGGAGGAACCATCAGCCTTCCCCGCAAGGCCTACTTTCCCAGAGGAAGTTGGCGCGGAGGCCTTCCCACATCCCTCCCTTTCTCCGCCGGACCGGAAGCCGCTCGACTTCCGCCCCCAGAAGGAAGGGAGCGAATTCTCTGCGAGGAGGAGGGAGCAAATAGGGTAGTCTCGCAACTGCGCATGCGTCGGCAGGATTTGGCGCCAGCGTTTGTATTTGGAGGAAGCGGCGGCGCCGTTCCTGAGGGGAAACAGAGGCTGGTCAGTTAAGAGCCTGGAATAGGCCTAAGGGGTTCATCTACGGCAGGCCTGGGCAAACCTGGGCCCTCCAGGTGTTTTGGACTTCAACTCCCACAATTCCTAACAGCCGTAGGCCGTAGGCTGTTAGGAATTGTGGGAGTTGAAGTCCAAAACACCTGGAGGGCCCAGGTTTGCCCAGGCCTGTGATAAAGTCATAGGCCAACACTCAAACCACTTCAGTGAGTCAAAATGTAAACAAATCCAATGTATTCAATGCTACAGTGCTTAAGGTTTTTTAAAAATTGTGTTTCATGCTCTGCATCAAAGAAATATTGACATACTAGCCATCCCCTGCCACGTGTTTTGTGGCCCAGTTTGGTGATATGGAAAATAAAGTAATGAGAAAGTAGGTTCTTGTAGGTTTTTGCGGGCTATAGGGCCATGTTCTAGAGGCATTTCTCCTGACGTTTCGCCTGCATCTATGGCAAGCATCCTCAGAGGTAGTGAGGTCTGTTGGAAATAGGAAAATGGGTTTATATATCTGTGGAATGACTGGGGTGGGGCAAAGAGCTCTCTGCTGAAGCTAGGTGTGAATGTTTCAGCTGACCACCTTCATTAGCATTTGAAGGCCTGGCTGAGCCTGGGAAAATGTTCTGTTGAGAGGTGTTAGATGCAGGCGAAACGTCAGGAGAAATGCCTCTAGAACTGCTTCTCAACCTTGGGTCCCCAGATGTTTTTGGCCTACAACTCCCAGAAATCCCAGCCAGTTTACCAGCTGTTAGGATTTCTGGGAATTGTAGGCCAAAAACATCTGGGGACCCAAGGTTGAGAAGCACTGCTCTAGAACATGGCCCTATAGCCCGAAAAAACCTACAAGAACCTAGTGATTCCAGCCATGAAAACCTTTGACAATATAATGAGAAAGTGTTGGTTTGTAATATATGTAATTTCTTTATGCTTGTGGGTAAACACTATTTGATTACGTTTTCTTGCCCTGGTGAAGGGAGTTGGACTGGATGGCCTTAAGTATTTTCTATTGGTCATAGGGGTTCTGTGTGGGAAGTTTGCCCCAATTCTATCATTCATGGGGTTCAGAATGCTCTTTGATTGTAGGTGAACTATAAATCCCAGTAACTACAACTCCCCAATGTCAAGGTCTATTTCCTCCAAGCTCCTAGTTGGGCATATGGAACATTCGTGCCAAGTTTGGTCTGGATCCATCATTTCTTGAGTCCACAGTGCTCTCTGGATGTAGGTGTACTACAATTCCCAAACTCAAAGGTCGATGCCCACCAAACCTTTCTAGTGTTCTCTGTTGGTCATAGGAGTCCTGTGTGCCGTGTTTGGTTCAATTCCATCCCTGGTGGAATGCTCTTTTATTGTAGATTAACTATAAATCCCAGCAACTACAACTCCCAAATGACAAACACATTTTTTTTAGTGATGGTTACTCCTTGGGTTAGTTGGTGTCTTGTAGCCAAATTTGGCAGCAATTCATCCAGTGGTTTTTGAGTTATGTTAATCCCACAAACGAACATTACATTTTTATTTATATGGATGTTTAAGAACTTTAATCTCTGCTGTTTAGAATAATGGATACATCTGTTAGATTCCTCCCATCCCACTGTATTGGAAAGCTGCTACTCTTTTGAATACTATTCAGTGTGTTGTCGAAGGCTTTCATGGCTGGAATCACTGGGTTGTAGGTTTTTCGGGCTGTATGGCCATGTTCTAGAAGTATTCTCTCCTGATGTTTCACCTGCATCTATGACAGACATCCTCAGACCCACTAAGAAAATCCAACAAATGCTACATTCAGCAAAGGACAAGAGGGATCCTCTCAACTCTGCAGGAGTCTACTGTATACTATGCAGCTGTGGACAAGTCTATATAGAGACCATCAATGGGTACTCTACCACAGATATCAGGAGAGCTTCAAGACCAATAACAAGTCATGAGACAAAAAACAAAGATCCACCCATATGAAAAGTGTTCTTACCATATATCAAGAGAACTACTGACTGCATAGGGAAGCTGATGAAGAAACACGACCTTCAAACTATCTACAGACCCACTAAGAAAATCCAACACATGCTACCTTCAGCAAAGGGCAAGAGGAAACCTCTCACCTCTGCAGGAGTCTATCGTATACTATGCAGCCATGGACAAGTGTACATAGAGACCACCAAATGCAGCATTGCCCAAACACAAATCAAGGAACATGAAAGGCTCTGCGGACTACTTCAACCAGAAAAGTCAGCCATAGCAGAGCACCTGATGAACCAATCTGGACATAGCATATTATTTGAGAACACAGAAATGTTGGACCACTCTAACAACTACCATATTACACAGAGAAGCCATTGAAATCCATGTGCATGTGGACAATTTCAATAGAAAGGAGGAAACCATGAAAATGAACAAAATCTGGCTAGCAGTATTTTTAAAACTCTAAAATTGTAACAATAAATAAATAACACTCAGGGGAACTCCAGACAAGAAACAATCAGGGACAGCTAATCACCCCGCAACAAAGGATTTTCCCAGGCAGTAACAAGGCACACCTAAAAACTGTCAGGCCATCAAATGCTAATCAAGGTGGTCAATTGAAACACACAACTAGCTGCAACAGACAAGAATTCTTTCTCCCACCCTGGACTTTCCACAGATATATAAATTTTCCTAGTTTCCAACAAACCTCACAACCTCTGAGGATGCCTGCCATAGATGCAGGTGAAACATCAGGAGAGAACACTCCTAGAACATGGCCATACAGTCCGAAAAACTTACAACAACCCATACTATTCAGTGTTGAAGATGTGCCAGTGATTGGTTTGGGTGTTAATTTAATCCAATTTAACTTTCTAGTTTACTTTTTCGCATTTTCTTCTGTAAAAAAAATGGATGCACTAAACGTTTTGCAGATACACAGATTCATTCCGTCAGTGATAACCTAACACAATTTTCAAAGATACAGTCTTGTTGAACTAGAATCAGTTTGGCTTTTGCAATGGGTAATTTGGCTGATTTTTATTTATTTATTTTGCTAAAAAAGATAGATATTTTGTATAATACTCTGCTTTTCAAAAACCCTGACAGACTCATTAATTATGCCTGACACAATTGATACAGAAAGCACAATATCCTCTGATACTGTAAGAATGCTATTTTGAGAAAACGTGACTGTCAAAAGTAGAGTAAATACTGATTTAAAAGAATTAAAAGTCCAGAGAGATTAGATTTGTCCTATGCATTTTTAGAATTGCTATGAAGGGGTTATGGTTGCTGCTATATCTTCAATATGGAACACTCTGCCCCGGAGTGTGGTGGAGGCTCCTTCTTTGGAGGCTTTTAAATAGAGCCTGGATGGCCATCTATCGGGGGTACTTTCAATGTGATTTCCTGCTTTTTGGCAGGAGGTAGGACTGGGGGCCCATAAGGTCTCTTCCAACTCTATTTCTATGATTATCCCCAGTCCTGTTGGTTTAATATGCTGACTAATTACTCATCCAACAAGGATTTTAAAAAATATAATTGTTAAAAATGCCAGATTCCCCCATATAAATTCTGACTCAGGTCCCTTTACACTGCCATATAAAACTGGATTACATGGCAGTGTAGATTCATATAATCCAGTTCAAAGCAGATTATGTGGATTATCTGCTTTGATAATCTGTATTATATGGCAGTGCAGAAGAGGCCTCAGTTATAGGGAAAGTTAAATAGAGACATCACTACCCATTCAGTAATCCTTAAAGAAGCTGTTCCCTGCTTTTTAAAAATTGTGTGTGTTTTTATTAGTTATTGTATATGCTGTAAAACTCTCGTGGAAAGTAAATAATTCTTAAGTGTTTGCATTGGTAGGTTTGGTAGTTGTTTCTGGATAACACTTAAGGCCAAAAAAAATAAAATCAACACAAGATAGTTGGTTTGAAATATTGTAATAATATTTGCAGGTTTCCATAACAATGGCAGTTATGGTTAAGGAAAGCGCTGATGCACCTACGAAGAAGCCAACTTTCTTTGAAATATACAAGGCACGATGTGATGATTCAGGTACCATTTACCTTTGTAAAATGTAGACTTCTATTAAAATATATTGCTTCATGTAAACACTTTAATCAACTTGGTTTTTCATTGCTGTTTTGCTAGGTTACCTTCTCATCCCAAGCATTATGCATAAGGGAGACTCAGTGTACACTGAAACTGTAATTCTGGGAAATCTGAGGATACACAATTGTTTTTAAAGAAGCAGTTGTATTTTTTGTTGCAAAAGCTTGACGTTCAGAATGAATTATATTATGGTGTCTTGGGATATCCCCTGAAAACTGTAAAACTGACAAGTTCAAGATAATGGAGCAAGATTTATTGTAAAATGTAATCAGACTATTGTCAATTTCATTGTTCCATACATGTATTATTCTAATCTAGTGTGCTACCATTAATAACATCTCTCTTTTTTTTCTTTTTTCTTTTTTCTTTTTTTTAGACCTAGGGCCAATAAGTCTTAACTGGTTTGAAGAACTCAGTTCAGAAGCTCCGCCTTATGATACTAAATCAGAACGCCCTGATCAGAAAACTAACAGTTTGGATCAAACAATTTTTAAAACACCAAAGGGGAAGCTGTCTACAAATAATTCAGCAGCATCAACTCCAATGATATTTAAAGAACAAAATAAAGCTGGACTGTCATGTACTCCTCTTATAAAAGAATTTTGTTACAGCAGCACAGAAACAGGTGAGATGCTTGTATGATGCAGATTTGTGGTAAATGTTTCAGGATGTGTGCAATAGTTAATTAATTAATACAATATTGATTACAGGTAAACATTTCAGTGAAGTGGACCAGTCAAACGAAATAGCAGATACTTCCAATGCCTATTTCCTTTCAAGGTATAACCTTTATTATTCAGAGGACAGAAGTATAAATTTACTTCTATATGATTTTCCCTAAAATATACCATTGCTACAACTTTTTAAAAGTTATTAATAAAAGTTACTTCCGATGAGTTATAAAATTATTAATCATAAATAATTGTTATTAAATTGGGTTGCTGTGAGTTTTCTGGGCTGTATGACCATGTTCCAGAAACAGTCTGGAACATGGCTGTACAGCCCGAAAAATTCACAGCAATCTAGTGATTCCAGCCATGAAAGTCTTTGATAACACATTGTTATTACATTAGTAGTCTGGGTAGTTCATATGTACCTCTAGTTACATCCTGTTAAACGTGTGACTCATATCTGATTGTTAATAGATTACCTGAAGAAAATCAAATTAATTTATGTTAAATATTGGCTTGCCAAGTTTCTATGACTTCAGTGTATCTGCTGTAGTTCATCAGTTTTATAGCATTAAGTGCTCCCAGATTGTCCACTTGATTTTATGACATTTTCTATTATTTATTTAAAATATTTATATTCCGCCCTTCTCACCCCGAAGGGGACTCAGGGCGGAGCACAGCATATCTATGGCAAACATTCAATGACAGAACATAAAATAAACTATAAATATACATAAACACTAAAATCAATTATCTCGACTTTAAAATCTATTGTTTAAACCATCTCGGATCAGCCATACCATAGTCTGAATGATTCCTAATCTCTAGTTTTCTAATATTTGTAAAGGCATAGCTGTATCTGCTTCATACTTTAAAAAAATTCAGTTAATGTTATCTGTAACTATTTTTCTTTGGTTCTTTTATTTTAGTCCATCGGGTTTAAGAGAAGCAAGTGGAACACCACAGAACCATAAATGTGGTACATGTTCTAGTCTTTCTTTGTTCATTGTATTTAAAATAATTTTGTTTATTGATTTTTGAGTGGAGCTGTTTCTCATTTTTTTTAAGAACAGTTTATATATATTTTACAGAACAGCACAATTTAAAGTGCTGGCTTTAGCCTATAAAATTCTAAACGGTTCTGGCCCAGTGTACCTGTCCTTACATATCTCCTTCTATGATCCATCTTGGAGATTCAGATCCTCTGGGGAGGCCCTGCTCTCGATTCCACCTTCCTTGCAATCATGTCTGGTGGTGACAAGAGACAGAGCCTTCTCAGTGGTGGCCCCTTGGCTATGGAATTCTCTCCCTAGTGAAATTAAAGCAGCCCCCCTTCCTCCTTACATTCAGGAAGAAAGTAAAACGCGGTTATGTGGCCAAGTTTTCGGACAGCAAAGCTTGTAATGCAATAAAATAATAAGGAATAGTGAACGGACCAATAGAACGACTACTGACTTGATTTTGGATGGCACGATTCTAATAACTGTTTTTAAATCATGTTGTTCATCAGTGGGTTTTAATATAAATGTTATAATATTATTGATGTTTAATTTTTTATTCTTTATGTCTAAATGTTCTTATATGTGAATGTTTTAATTCGGTTAGGTTAATTTATAGTGATATGTTATTGTCTGGCTATTATCTTTTGGTTTTCACATGAATGTACAGCATTAAATTTTGCTTTTATAATGTTGGAAACCACTTTGAGTTCCTTTAGGGGAAGAAAGGCGGTATATAAATGTAATAAATACATAATAAAATGTTCACTCTAAGGGCTGATAAATAAATTTACTTCACTTCATGCTTTTCAGGGCTAAGCAGAAGTTTGCTCTCTACACCAAAGGTGTTTGAGGTAATTACAAAAAAAAGATGTTGAAATAAAATGATGTTAGATTTAAAACAAAGCACAAAAACGTGTTTGCTATATTTTAGGGAGAAACACCAAAAGGAATTTCTGTGAGTTTGGGAGCAGAAGCGGATTCTGATATGTCTTGGTCAAGCTCATTAGCAACACCACCTACGCTTTCTCCAACGGTTATAATAGGTAATCATAGCAACATGATTATATACAAAGAAAAATATTATGTTCGTTCTTTGCATGAAGTACTGAGGTTTTTTGTTGGTGTCTCTGCTGTCCTCAGTCAGAACTACAGTTCCTAGAGATACCGTATATACTTGAGTATAAGCCGACCCAAAATAAGCCAAGGCACCTGATTTGACCACAAAAAACTGGGAAAACATATTGACTCGAGTATAAGCCGAGGGTGGGAAATGCAGCAGCTACTGGTAAATTTCAAAACAAAAATAGATACCAATAAAATTACATGAATTGAAGCATCAGTAGGTTAAATGTTTTTGAATATTTACATAATACTGTCCAACTCTAATTAAACCATTATTCTAATCTTTTTCAATGTAAATGTGCTTACGTATCCTTCTGATAATAATAGCTAGTAAAGGTAAAGGTTTTCCCCTGACATTAAATCCAATCATGTCTGACTTCGGGGGATGGTGCTCATCTCCATTATTTACCGGAAGTGCTGGCATGGTCCGTAGACACCTCCAAGATCATGTGGCCAGGATGACTGCATGGAGTGCCATTACCTTCCCGCTGGAGCTGTACTTATTGATCTACTCACATTTGCATGTTTTCGAACTACTGGGTTTGCAGAAGCTGGGGCTAACAGCAGAAGCTCACACTGCTCCCTGGATTCAAACCTGTGATCTTTCAGTTAGCAAGTTCAGCAGCTCAGTGGTCTAACCCACTGCACCACCAGGGGGCTCCTTCCTATAATAATAACAGCAATAAAGTAAAATAATAAATCTAATAATAATAATAATAAATAGAGTAAGAATGTAAATTTAATCAAGACGATTATATAAAAGGACTGAAAAACACGACTTTACTGGAGTATATATGTACTTCCAAATATTGTAATTGTCTTTAACCATAATAACATTGTTGTAGTTTTCTTTGTGTCATGATGATCTGATTAAGGTTGGTATTGTGTATTACGCAATGATGTGATTTATTTTATTGCATTATTACTACCTTCTGCTTTTGCTTTACCTTTATCTAGGGGAGTCTATTATATGAGGAACTGATTGGAGCTATATTTAGTTGAAAATAGGATAGAACCACTACAATGGGATGTAGGTCTAGCTGTCATGAATAACAAGTCCTATAGATTTCTGTAGCTTAGTTCTAATTGTGACAAAAAATGAATTCAGCCAATAATAGTACATCTTTTTAAAAAAATATTGGTCTATGTGGCAATTTAATTTTTCATTGTAGGATGTACCAATGAACTCTACTAATGAGTTGTAAGATAATTATCTCCATTATCATTTGAAATTTTAGATAGAGGAAATTATTCAAGTTCTGGAACAAAACAGCATAATGAAAGAACTGAGTCGGTGAGTAGTTTAAGTAACAAATATGCCAAACAAAACAGCTTTTGTTGACTTGATTGACGGATTGACTTGATACCATCACTTTACAGTAAATTACAGTAAATGTAATTTTGTTGATATTTTGCACTTTTATGGTTTCCAGGTTATGTGCAGCCCTTTCTCCAAGTCTGGCATAAGTCTGAAGATAAACAGCACAAATACTGAATCCGCAACAAGAATTGAGGATGTATGTGCAGAAGTTGACAGAAAAAATCATAGTGAGCACTATTTAATACTATTTATTAGCTATTTGTTTTTAACTAGGATTTTTAATATATTTAATTATAAATAAATTATGCATTTCTTTTTGAACACGTGTAACTATTTGACGAGAAATGGATAAAGCTTCCTCTGATTCTCTTTTAGAAAATATTTCAACTCCAGTGGCTAGTAATGGCAGCGGACTCATAAAGTCAGGTTTGAAAACTATGAGTTCACTTTCCAGGTTGAAGAAACGACCCAAAAAATTTATTTATACAATAAATAATACTCCAGCTAACCATGGAAAAGGAGCCAGTCTTGGAGATGGAACTTCTACTTGGCTTATGCCAAAGTCTTGTGTTTCTGAAGTTTCTGAAACAACCACTAGATACACAGGTACAGTGCCTATATTTCTTTGCATGTTGGTTTTGAAATATGTAAACCTTTTCTTACAGTCAGTATGCCTTTACTGTAAACTAGACATTTGTGGTATTGGAACTATTCTATTGAAAACACCTGCCCAAATTAAATATGTTTATGTATATAAGATTGGAAGTTGCTCGAATTAGTTGTATTCCATGACATTCTCAGGGACATGATATAAAAAACTGAATAAGGAGCACATAGAGAAATTGGGCAAGAATTTACTGAGGAAAAGAGATGTGGGGGGAAAGCAGGAAGACAAAAAAAGAAAGGGATGGAAGGAAAAGTAAGTAGAGGAGAGATGTTCCAGTTTAGGCATTTCTTATTGTAGTCAAACACTAATTTCTCTAGATTTCCTATTGCATAGGCAACAGCAAATTTAAAGTAAACTGACATACTAAGGATTGCATCACCATTCATTTAACTTTTTATTATTTTCTTCCATTGTCAGGGCTATGTGTTTTTCTCTTGAGTTAGCCTCTGTACTTGGATACAAAGCAAACATTTTCATTTTGTTCAAAAGTTTTCATTTTTTGTTACAATATGAAAGTAAATATTCATAAGTTTAAATTTCCCAGGAACCATATATATAGGGAGAGGGAAAAAGAGAGAGAGAGAGATTATTTAATAACTAACTCAAATATTAGAGCATTTTGGGTTTTAGTATTATATTATTATTTCAATCCACAAGAAATTGTGAATAATTGGTTTGGGAGACTAGAAAGTAATCTAAAGAAAGCGGTGAGCGAACCAGTGTGTTTAGTAATATAATCATTCTAAGTTATATATCTCTTGGTTCAATTCCTTACAGGAGAAACTGAAGAACTTTCAAGCTCTAATGCTATTGAAGAAACGCAACAAATAGAGGCTGATAGTTCTACAAATAATTTTCATGAAACTTCGTGTAATGAAAATTTGAAAATTGAAAGTAGTTTTACAGAGATGCCATCAATAGCTCCACAAACAAATAACAAAAAAGAAGCAGTTACTCTTCCCAGTCATATAGTTGCTAACGAACAAACAGATTCAAGCGAAAATAAGTTTCCTGGAATTTGTCAAATGGAGAATTTAGATAGAGACAGTACCTTAAACAATGTTAGTCTCACCAATTTAGATTCAGTCCCAGCAGCCATCCTTGAAGAATCTGCCTCAGAAAAGGAAAACAAACAAAGAGCTTTGGAATTAGCTGCACAACCTTCTTTAACAAGAGATATTCAAATGTCTGACAATATGTGCTGGTCAAACAAAGATCCCCAAATGATTATAGAAGAATTGTCAACACTTACAGATTCACAAAACAATATAGACAGAGGACGGCTCCTGCTGGGTTTAAAAGAAAATGAAAACAATAGCAAGCAGAGGAAGTTAGAATGTAGATTGTACAGCGAAACCAAAAACTTTGGTGGCTTCAAAACAGCATCAAACAAAGAGATAAGACTATCTGATAACAATATTAGACAAGGCAAGTTGCTGTTCGGTGATATAGAAGAGCAGTATCCTGAAGATTTACCTAGCACTGGAGTGCAAAATACTGCAAACAAGAGTGCACATGAAAATGCTACAGCTGCTTTAATTGGGAGAAATGTGTTGTATGAAAATTCATGTGATGCGTCACATGTCTCCGATTCATTAATGAACCTTATTCAGTTTACTGATAGCCAAAGTAGTTTTCAGAATAAATTTAAAAAACAGAAAATTGAGGGAAAACAAATTTTAACAGCAAGTCAAGAAGCTGAAGTTGCTGAGCTTTCTAATATACTGGAAGAAACAGGTAGTCAGTTTGAATTTACACAGTTTAGGGAACACAAGACTGTGTTGCATGATGATATTTGCGAGGAATCTGAAAGTAATATAAACTCTGAACTTTGGAAGGACATTGATTTTGAGGAATCCTTTGACGATAAAGTTCAAAGAAGTGACGGTCCATCTTCTAATAGCCCTGTGGGCCTAGATATACCTATGAAATCTAAGACACAGAACAACGAGGAGAATACATTGATAAAATCATCAAGCAAAAAAGATATCCAACATATTCCAGTTCTTTCAGCATCTTTGCAGTCTGGCCTTTGGGATTATAGTTCAGCTGAAGGGGAAAAGATAAATATTTCTGCTGAGATCATAAACAAAATTACAGAACCAGTCAGGGATAGTGTGAACAAAATGCTTAGTCCACATAAAACGTGTCAATTTACCTGTTCAAATAGCTGCAATGTTTTGTGGGAAAACATCAACTATAAGAAAGAAAGAAATGATTTGCATCAGAGAGCTAAAGAAAGGAATCTTGAATATATGATGAGAAGTAATGCGAAAGAGAGGACTTTCTGTATAAAAGAGCATATACAAAATAAGTCTAAATCTATAGACTTGAATAAAGTTGTTCAGATTATTAGCACTACAGAAATTAACCTAAAAATCGTCAAGAAATACTCTGTCAATGTGGCAGGAAATGAATTGTCCTGTACTGAAAATCATCGTAGTGCATTAGGCGGACATTGTTTTTCAGGCTGTGGAAGCACTCAGTATAATTACAATGAGCAAGAAACAATGTCAGATCTGACATGTTTAGCAGAAGTTGCTAAAATTGAAAAAGATTCTCCTTTTAGTAATGCAGAAAGAAAAGAAAGCTTTAATTCCAGCCAAGAAGTGGTAACAAATAATTCAGGAAGCAGCTGTTTACTACTGAAAGTTGACAGTGTTGCTGACGAGAACATAGTTGCAGAAAAGAGTAAAATGCTTCATTTGCTGACTGATTCCTGCTCAGTAGAAGAACTGGATGGGAGAATAGATATTGGCAGCATAAAGGAAGCCATTACTTCTGTGAAAAGAGAGACTGTATCAAGCCAAAGTGATATATTTGGCTCCCATGATCCAGAAATGTATGAAACTAGAAAAATGCAAACGACTACAGTGGGATTTCAGACAGCTAGTGGTAAGAAAATTGCCATTACTGATGAATCTTTATTGAAGGCAAAGAATCTTCTTTCAGAAGAAACTCCTTTCCTAGGGAAGGAAGATGTTGTAGTTAACTCTATCAAACCTAGCATTCAGGCTTCAGTCAAGGAAGAACGGAATGTGAAAGTGACCAAAGTGAAAAAAGAATTTGGAAAAGAAAGTAAAAAACACCAAGATTATATGCATCCTAAAAGTCATTTTGAAGAGTCTGTGGATATGGTGTCTAACATTGAGAATTTAAAAGCTATTGAAGAGCCCTCTCTGGACATTAATTCATTGGAGTCAGATTTGATATGTTGTACTCAAAGAGAGGCCATGCACACTGTAAATGAAGACTCGTTAGCAAAGAACAGACTGGCACAAATATCAGGCAAAAATGATGTTTCAAAAACTATTTCCATTGACTCTGATACATGTCAGGATTTGTACATTAAGAAGTTAAATACTTGTGCAAAGCAGGTTCTTGAGTATTTGCCATCTAGAAATAAAAACAATGCATTAATTGCTGGTACAAAAAAAGCCGACGAACCTTTGGATCTGTCTTGCAATACTACTGCAGAAGCTAATTACATAAGTACGCATTCAGCACTGCACCATTCTCAAGATTCGAGCAGTGAGAAAAAATCCCAGGAGTTTACTGGGATTCCTGAAGAAGCATCTTCATCAAAAATCCTTATTTCAGAAAATATTTTTGGGGAAATGTCAAAAAATAAAAGTTGTGCTATACGGACATCTGACCAAAAAAAATTGGATGCTGACACATTCCAGAAATATTCAGCTAGTGAAGAAGCAGGCTCTGCTTCAAACGTATTGAAAGCTCAACCAGTTGCATTCAGTACAGCAAGTGGTAAAGCTGTCAGAATTTCAGAAAAAGCATTGAAAAAGGTCAAACAATTGTTTGATGAAGACAGCTGTAATTCCATAAAGCAGAACATAAACTCTCAGTCAAAAACCAGTGAACATAACCTAGAAAGCTGCTCTAATGCTTTGAGCAGCAGAAAGCAGGTTAGTACTTCTAATCATTTAGGTATGGAAAAAGTTACTTTGAAAAACTCAGTTGCCTCTCAGTGTCTCACTGCTAAAGAATACCATGAAGATGACCATGCATTGCAATGTATTGCATCTGTGCCTTTGAACGTTGCGTCTGAATCAAATTATCAGACTCCATGTCTTCAAATAAATAATGGGCCTGAATCAAAGGCTTCTAACAAACTGAGTTGCAGCAAGTCAGATTTTTCTATAAATAATTGTGGTTTTTTCAGCACAGCAAGTGGAAAAGCTGTTCAGTTATCTGAAGAGTCATTGAAAAAAGCAAGACAGTTTTTTTCTGAAATTGAAGATGATTCATTGAGTCATCAAACACATGTATCAGGTGGTGGTGACCATTACTGTACAGCATCTTCTGTCAGGAACAAAGCCAGCTCTAAAGAAAATAATCTTCTCATGTCCCAAGGGAAAATACTTTCAAATGCAGAAGTAGATTCAAATATTCCTTGTGGCTTTAGCACTGCAAGCGGAAAACAAGTGCAAATCTCTCAAAAGGCTGTCCAGAGTGTTATGGAGCTCTTCAAAGAATTCAGTGATGATATCAATAGTAATGACTTCGTTGATCAACAGGGTTTGGAGCAAGGTGACGTTTCATCTGTCAAAGATGCTGATATAAAAGTGAAAATGGACAATAAAATTGTGACTCAATCTAAGCCGCAGCATAGATGTAATGCTCTTCCTTTAGCTACAAAAAATCTTGATGAAAAAAGGAGCTCCCAAAACCCATTAACCACTAAAATAACCACATGTGTGTGTGATACTGAGAAATGCAACCATCTAGTTGAATCAGAGAAATGTTTTACATATTCAAGAGAAATGGAACCTTTGAAGACCACTCAGATGTGCCTCAGAAAAGCAGAAACAAAACATTCAACACCATGTGATATTCCAAAAAAAGGAAATCTTTATTCTCATTGCCATACTTACTCCCAGACTCCAGAAAGTTATATGGAAACGGAAGCTTCCGAAAGTGCCAGAGCGTTTATGGAAGATGATGATCTCACTGATTCAGAAGTAGAGAAAAATAAGAAAGGATTTGCTCCTAATTCTGAAAAAAATAATTTATATTTATATGCAAGAGCTGGAAAAAGATGTATGGAAAAAGAGAATACATTTGGTAGGTGCCTGTTTTCTTTTTTGTTTTTAACTCTGTACATTTTACTCAGTAGTGCTCCGAGTAATCTCAGTGTAATTTAGTATGTGTTGGACTGCATGAAATATGTTTTCTCAAAAAACTGATCGATCTACTGTTTCCTGACAAATTAACCTCAGCTTCACAAGAGCTTGATAGACAAAGTATAAGAGTTGGAAAGCCATTTGGATTGCAGCCTGTATTGTTTAGTTTCAAATGTTAATACAATTAGTGCAAACATTTTTCATCACAAATATTTTGGGAATCAAGATTTTACACATGTTTGCTTGTAAGAAAACACCCAAGCAAGAACACCTAAATTAGGACTAAGACTGCCATAACTTAGCATGAATGGATTCACTAAAATAAAAGCAAAGTACTTAGTGATTTCAATTTCAGAAGTGAATGCATTACCACAAATATTTTTGCAAGTTAGCAAAGGTCATAAGCCTTTCAAAACTCTGTTAAATATTCTTGAAATGTACCTTGATATATTAAATTATATTAAATTTGGGAATTGTTCTTGACAGATCCTATTGCAGTTGTATATTCAGAATCAATATACTGTAACTATATTTTCTAAAGCCACAGATTCCAATTTTTCAGCCAGCAAATGCAGCTTGTATGTTAGTTTCACAGTAATCTTAAGAATGTTCCTATATTGGCGAATTCAAAGTCAGAATGGCCCTAGGTAGGTAAACATTTACTGTGTTTTGATTTCTAAATAGTACCTAAGCATTGGTAAGATTAATTACTAAAATAAGGTTGAACCAATTGCTAATCCCAATTAGAGTAGTCCCAATTTGACCATTACTAAATTATATATAAACATATTTTTGGACAGGGTTCCTGTGAGTTTTTCAGGCTGTATGACCATGTACCAGAAGCATTCTCTCCAGACGTTTCGCCCACATCTATGGCAGGCATCCTTAGAGGTTGTGAGGTCTGTTAGAAACTAGACAAGTGAAGTTTATGTATCTGGAATGTCCATGGTGGGAGAAAGAACTCTTGTCTGCTTGAGGCTTTGTCTGCTTTGTTGGGAGGTGTTAGCTGGCCCTGATTGATTCTTGTCTGGAATTCCCCTGTTTTCCAAACATGAATCAAGGAACATGAAACACGCTGCAGACTACTTCAACCAGAGAAGTCAGCCATAGCAGAGCACCTGATGAAGTGACCTCAGCACAGCATATTATTTGAGAACACAGAAATGCTGGACCACTCTAACAACCACCATGTCAGAGAAGCCACTGAAATCCACAAGCATGTGGACAATTTCAACAGAAAGGAGGAAACAATGAAAATGAACAAAATCTGGCTACCAGTATTTAAAAATTCTAGAATCTGGACAGTAAATAAAGAACAACACCCAAAAAAAAAACAGGAATTCCAGACAAGAATTAATCAGGACCAGCTAACGCTTCTCAACAAAGCACCCCCAGGCAGCAACCAGCTAGGCTTTGAAGCTGCAAGTCCATGAAATGCTAATCAAGCTAGCCAACTGCAACATTCACAGTTGCCTCAAGCAGACAAGAATTCTTTCTCCCACCCTGGACATGACACATATATAAACCTCACTTGCCTAGTTTCCAAGAGACCTCACAATCTCTGAGGATGCCTGCCATAGATGCAGGCGAAACGTCAGGGGATAATACTTCTGGAACATAGACATACAGCCCGGAAAACTCACAGCAACCCAGTGATTCCAGTCATGAAAGCCTTCGACAACACATGTTTAAGGACATTCTGCTCCTTCACTGGTTGAACTCTAGTTAGTACTAGTAAGTGGGTTTAAGCCCTAAACTTTTCAAATTAAAGTTCTCATCTCCTAGAGGAATTCTTTTGGAAGAGAAGAGTTTGACACTGCTAGTACTATTTCAGCCCATTTTCTTAAATCTGTTGTTTTATTAACATTTGTTGTGGAAATTAGTCATGATGTCACATGCACTTTTAAAATTCCTTATGATTGCTTCTCAGGAGAACCACCAATTAAAAGAAAATTGCTGCCCGAATTTGATCAGTCAGAAAGATCATCTTTGAAAGCCTCCAGAAGTTCATTGGATGGTAATTTTACTGTGCCGAATTACATTATTTATTTAAAAGTTCATAAATACAATTTCATAATTTTTGTAGTTTTCAAAACCACTGCTATATATATTTCCACCGTAATGTATTCTAATCAATTAACAAGTAGTTGTATTTTTATTTTTAAAAATTGCTGAGAATAACTTTCACACAAAGACTCCTTTGCCTTTACACCTTTGTGGAAACAAAAAAATTGGCAACTGTAGCTTTCTCATATAGAGAAGAGACTATATCTACTGAAATGGCTTATATTGCAGTTACTGGGCCCTTTGTTTGCATTTTGTGGTTGGAGTAATTTGGAAATACAGTAGCAATCCAAGAACAAAAGCTCTGTTTCTACTATGATTGTTCACATCTGTAATGTGGTGCGAAAACTACACTCAGCTTCCAGATATGCAGATTCAATCAACCATGTCTTGAAAATATATTTTTTTTAAATCCAAATATACTTCAATGATTTCTGCCTGTAGAGAAGGCTTGCCTGCTGAAAGAGCTTCTGTCCAAATGGAAATATTCTGTTGCATCCTAGATCAGGCATGGGCAAACCAGCCCTCCAGGTGTTTTGGACTTCATTCAACTCTCACTGACTGTTAGGAATTGTGGGAGTTGAAGTCCAAAACACCTGGAGGGCTGAAGTTTGCCCATGCCTGTCCTAGGTACTGACAATCACCAATAGTGCACATGTTAGCATTGTGCTGTGGTTCAGTAGACGTTATTGTGTGTTGGTAAGTGCTAGTCTAATTCATTAGTTATACTGTTCTTACAATAATTATATGAATTAAGAGAAAAGTGCAAAATAAATCAGGTAAATACATTAATAAATACCTAGAAATTAACACAAATTTGACAAATTTCTCAAAACATTTTTAACAAAGGTAGCAATCTGCTCTGATGGTTTCATAAAAGTATTTGTAAGATCTTGAACACAGATATCTAAATTACTGTATATACTCGAGTATAAGCCTAGTTTTTCAGCCCCTTTTTTAGGCTGAAAGAAATCCCCCTCGGCTATACTCGAGGTTTTTTATTATTTTACTCTGCTATTAGTATTATTTTTATTACATTTATTATTTTACTCTATTATTATTATTATTATTATTACATTTACATTATTTTACTGTATTATTATATTTGTTGCATTTATTATTTTACTCTATTGTTATTATTACATTTATGACTTTATCATTATTACTACTATTACTATTACTGAATTTCCATTATTTACTCTATTATTTTTATTACATATTATTACATTTATTATTTTATTCTATCATTATAGGTAATAGATAAGCACATTTACATTGAAGGAGGTTAGAATAATGGTTTAATTAGAGTTGGGCAGTCTTATCTTAAATTACAGTTTTGTGTAAATACTAAAAAACATTTAACCTACTGACGATTACCAGTAGCAGCTATATTTCTCACCCTCGGCTTATACTCGAGTCAATACGTTTTCCCAGTGTTTTGTGGTAAAATTAGATCCCTCGGCTTATATTCAGGTCGGCTTATACTCGAGTATATATGGTATTTTATAAATTGTGACATGTTTTAATACCCGTTTTTTCCCGTTTAGGTACCATGAATGACAGAAAGACAAATATTTACGGTATTCTTTTAAAGCCAGTCAATTGTGACTCTCTTAGGTAAGTAGAATTTCTACTATAATTTGGAGTGTTTGCTATACATACAAATGCAGGTACTTGATTACAGATTAATCAAACTTTGCCTTAACTTCTAGTTCTGACCAGAGTAGACAACTTAGATCCATTAGATTTATCTATGTGTTGACTCATCATTCAACAATTGTTTTAATTTGTTGAGATTATTAACAGTATGGCAGCCAGTATGTGTTATTTGATAGAATAGACAAACACTAGCAAGGTTTTGGCTCTGACTTCAGTTATTTCAAGTACCTTCCAAACTACTTATTTAAAAGTAAAGGTCTAGACATTAAGTCTAGTTGTGTCTGACTCTCTGGGAGGTGGTGCTCATCTCCATTTCTAAGCTTAAAAACCAGTGTTGTCCGTAGATGCCTCCAAGGTCATGTGGCCAGCATGACTTCATGGAGCACCATTACCTTCCCGCCAGATCTACTGATCTACTACTATTGATCTACTCACATTTGCATGTTTTTCAACTGCTAGGTTGGCAGAAGCTGGGGCTAACAGCAGGAGCTCACCCCATTTACCGGATTTGAACCGCCAACCTTTTGGTCAGCAAATTCAGCAGCTTCAACCCTGCTGCATCACCCTTAATACAAACTATAAATAGTAAGTTTGACACATAAATTCAATACAAGAAATACTCTGGTTTTCTGTATTCTTCTGTTTTAGAATGTGATTTCATGTGTCAAACTTACTGTTTACAGTTTGATTGGTATTCCAGTCATTTTCATGCAAGTGATCAGTAATTTTTAGCTTATTTCAGAAAAATGTTACCTAGATCCATTTTGGGAGGTACCTGGTGTGAAACAGATTTTAAATCCAATAGATGCTGCAATTTTTCTTTCAGTAAAGTTCATGAGCAAAATCTTCAACGATAACCTAGACAACATCCTATACATTTCCTTACACAATGTTCTTTGTCATTAGTTGCATATTTACATATAAGAATTTCCCTCTCAAAATGAGTTATTTCCTCCCTCAGTCTGAATTCTCTGAGTGAGGAACACAGACACTTTTTTTGATTGATTATTTTTCATATTTTATGTGGTTTTGTTTGTATTAAGGGCCCCCTCATGGCCCAGCGGGTTAACCCACTGAGCTGCTGAACTTGCTGACCAAAGGTTGGTGGTTCGAATCCAGGGAAAGAGGTCAGCTCCCGCGGTTAGCCACAGCTTTTGCCAAACTAGCAATTTGAAAACATGCAAATGTGAGTAGATCAATAGGCACCACTTCTGTGGGAAGGTAACGGCACGCCTTGCAGTCATGCAGGTCACATTATCTTGGAGGTGTCTACGGACAATGTTGGCTCTTTGACTTAGAAATGGAGATGAGCACCACCACCCAGAGTTGGACACAACTAGACTTAATGTCAAGGGGAAACCTTTACTTTTTATGCATCTTTTTTTAACTTGCTTGAATATAACCATAAATAATAGAGAAATCAGTATTAGCATATAATACCAGTATGATAAACATAATGAGAAGAGCAACTGTGTTTTCTATGGGTTGTTTTCTTTTGGATTTACAAGTTGCTTTAGGTAAGTATTATATCATCAGTTTGGAAATTATGCACATTAATAATTTAAAATCAGCTAGCAAAATAAAATTGAAATTTATCCATAATATTCAAATTTTCTCGATGTCTTGCTGCAAGGAACATTAACAAGTCATCTTTTTATAAAGAGTTGGTCATTCAGATCCTTACAGAAATGCTTTTATTTATTTATTTCAGTTTTACCAAAGAAGTTAAGAATCCAAATTTTACCACTCCAGGCCGAGATCTTAAAGGGTTTAAATCAGACGGGTCTCAACAACATGTTTCAAAACACTCTTCAAGTGCATCATCAAGTGTTTTTAAGCAATTTAGTAATACTTCTTATGAAGAAGAAAGGAAGAAAGCATGCAATCCAACAGTAAAGACAACAACCAAAGTGTTTGTACCTCCTTTCAAAACAAAACCAAGTGCTTCTGAGAATGAAATGAACAGCAAAGAATCTCACTTCCAAAGTAACAACAGTGTTAATAGGGAGCTAAATTATACTAAGGTTCATGAAACCCTCCTTCAACCAGAAAAGGAAAATTATGAAAAGATATCAGCACTGGATTCAGAATTTGGAGAAAAAGATTCAGGTATGTTAGATGTGGGAGCCATCATAGTGTACTGGTTTGAGAGTGTTGGACTAGAACTCTGCAAAAGCCCTGTTATTTGTGGGGGAAAACTAGCATTGACAGAACATGGTTGCATAATATTATCACTGAAAGTAATATACAGGTTGACCCCAAATGCTTGGGACCAGAAGTGATTTGGATTTTTTTAAATCCTATTTTTTGGATTTTGGAATACTTGTGTTTGCATGTTGTTGTTGTTCATTCGTTCAGTCGTCTCCGACTCTTCGTGACCTCATGGACCAGCCTACGCCA